ATCTCAGAGACTTCAAGCAGTTCCCACACTTGCACCAGGAGAAGCACCGTGCTGGACTCCATGGGGAAGCAGGGGGTGGGGCTCCGAGTCCGCAGATCTGCACAGCATGGGGTGGGGAAGGCAACCGGGGTCTAGTGAGGGGCTTTCCCCAGTGAATGCAGGAGCTGCAGGCACATGGACCTCGTGATGGGGGCAACGGCAGGAGCCAGCTGGGGACTCCTGATGTGTTCTGTGGTTCCGGCATTGCAGCTGGGAACCGCACAGCACAGCTGGCTGTGCACCTCCTGGCAGCACATGGGTCTCAGCTGAAATGCCAGGACCACAGAACGCAGCAGGAGCCAGCCTGACCCCTGTGGTTACCAGCCAGATCCTGCTGCTGCCAGCCCTGACCCCCAGGGCACTGCACTCCCATTGCTGCCTTTCCCCTGCTGCTTCCCTTCCTTCTATGCTCCAGCAGCATGTGGTCCCCAGCTGCAATGCCAGGACTGCACAGCACGGCACAGCAGGAGCCAGCTGGGAACTGCATAGTGCCACGTGGGCCAGGCTGGCTCCTGATGTGCCAGTGATCCTCCCCCTACCTCCACCTGTTCTTTGTCTGAGAGTGGAGAATCAGATGAGGGAGAGCAAAGAAACAGCCCCAGGGTCACCAGTCTGAAGCCTCTGCTAGACAGAAGCTTCTGGCTGGGGGTGGAATGGGGCCAGGTGGGCCTTGCTGCCGCTGCCATTGGTACCTTGTCATCTTTGACAGGCAGCCACGGGAAGATAACCATTAATTTTCTAATTTTTGGGGGGGGCGCCACAGGCTAGATAGAATGGCTTGGTGGGCCGGATCCAGCTTGTGGGCCATATTTTGCCTGCTCCTGGATTATCTAGTTTTGTTCTATTTCAATCCATTATACTTCCCAGTTTGATAATTACTGTATTATTCCTTCAACTTCAGGCAAAAAGGCAATGTAGCTAGACTATTATTTATTCAATTTGGTTTAAACTTTTATCATGGTAACAGACAGCACCAGGATAGTATGTCAAAACTTCCCTTTACCAGCAAATTAAGCTTTTGCAAGCTCTAGCTATATCAGTCCAGAGAATCAGCCAAGACCTCTTCCCTTGGGGCAGGACACAATCAGGTTCCTGGAAAAGGATGCAAGGAGTTCACTATTTCCAACTGTTTTCTCTGCTCTTAGATAGTTATGCTCACTTCTGCAGTGAACCCATCAGAATTTGGTTGCGATTTAATTGGAGCTTCTCATTCTGAAAGTAATTTTGTTACATTGTTATACCTAAAAGCACCATTTTAGAGTTTTCTGTCTTATAAATTTGCTTGAATTTTTATGGTCTTCTTGAGCAGTAGCAGCCTTAGATGCATGTAAAGTGAGATTCCTAAGCTATTCAACCCTAACTAGGGGTGCACCGATTTATCGGATGGCTATTGGATCAGCACCAACAAAAAGGAGAAACTGATGTTATCAGCCGTCAGATTTTTTTAGTTATTGTAGCCGATAATTATGGCCACGTACCCAGAGCACCCTGGCGAGTGTAGTCCGGTCTCAACGTGCCACTGCTGGCCTGAGCCCACAGCAAACTACAGGTCCCAGTGAGCAGTGGAAGAGGAAGGGGATGCCAGGGAGCAGTCACAGCAACGAGACCCAGCAACAAAGGGACCATTACTGATTCCTGCTGCTGCTGCTGCCATGACAATGCTGTGCATGCATTAGGGGCCTGAGCGCCAGGGCTGCTACAAAGATGCTGGTCTGCGCATGGGCAGGGTAAGGTGCTGCCGCACAAGGGACATTCCACTCTGCTGGGCATAGTTTCATAGATGTAGGGTTGGAAGTCCGATCCCCTGCCATGGGCAGGAAAGAATGCTGGGGTCAAGCGACCCTGGCTAGGTGATTATCCAGCCTCCTTTTTGAAGAACCCCAGGTAGGAGTGAGCACCACCTCCCTTGGAAGTTAGTTCCAGATACCAGCCGCCCTGACTGTGAAGTAGCGCCTCCTGATGTCTAGGCTGAACCTACTCTCAGTCAACTTGTGGCTGGTATTCCTAGTTACTCCCAGTAGTGCTCAGGGGAACAGGGATTCCCCCAATGCCTGCTGGTCCCCTCTGACTAGTTTGTGACAGGCCACCAGATCCCCCCTCAGCCTTCTCTTGTGGAGGCTGAACAGGTTCAGGTCCCGTAGCCTGTCCTTGCAGGGCCTGCCCTGCTGCCCCCTGATCATGCGAGTGGCCCTCCTCTGGACCCTCTTGATGCTAGCCACATCCCTCCTGAAGTGCGGCGCCCAGAACTGGACGCAGTACTCCAACTGTGGCCTAACCAGTGTCGCAAAGGAGGGGAGGATCACCTCTTTGGACCTGCTCGTGATGCATCTGTGGATGCATGACAAGGGGAGGTTAGCCTTCCTTACCGCATCCCCACATTGGCAGTCCATGTTCATTTTGGCATCAATAATGACTCCAAGATCCTTTTCTGCCTCTATGTTGACAAGAAAGGAGTTCCTCAGCCTGTAGGTATGCTGCTGGTTCTTCCTCCCCAGGTGCAATACCTTACACTTGTCCCTACTGAAATCTATCCTGTTCTCATCCACCCCCCCTAACCTGTCCAGATCAAGTTGCAGCCTGTCCCTCTCCTCCAGTATGCCCACTTCTCCCCACATCTTGTGTCATCTGCAAATTTGAACAAGGTGCTTTTCACTCCCTCGTCCAAGTTGCTGATAAAGATGTTGAACAGTGCGGGCCCAAAGACTGAGCCCTGGGGGACCCCACTGCCTACATCCCTCCAGGTCAAAAAAGACCCATCCACCACCACTCTCTGGGTGCAGCCCTCCAGCCAATTTGCGGCCCATCTGACTATGTAGGCATCGACGCCACAGTCACCTAATTTCTTAACGAGGATAGGGTGAGAGACAGTGTCAAAGGCTTTCCTAAAGTCCAGAAAGACTACGTCCACCGCAACACCTGCATCCAAGGATTTTGTGACCTGGTCATAGAAGGCCACCAAACTGGTCTGACAGAACCTGCCTCAAATGAACCCATGTTGGGATCATGCTTAGGGGCACCCACCTGCTGGTCCCTCGCAGATGTGCTCCTGGATAATTTTCTCAAAGAGCTTCCCTAGGACCGAGGGAACTGAGCACCCTTTGCAAAATCGGCTTCATCTCAGCCGCTGCTGGAGCTTGGCTGCATGGAGCCCACCAGCGCTGAAGCAGCAGTATACTCTGGGGCTCCAAACACACCTGGCACCGCTGTCTGCACAAGGGTCTGCCCTGCCACCCAAGACAACAGCATGGGGTGCACAGGGAGCAGGGATGCAGGTAGGAGCCATGGGTGAGGGGATGATGTGAATGAGAAAAAGGTGGTCACCACCTTCTTCATTGAGGGCTGGAGCAGGTGTGTGCACAGGTGTGTTTATAAATGCAAAACAAACAAACAAACAAACAGATGTATGTAAGTTGTTTAAAATGCCTTGTAGTATTGGTTATCGGATCAGCATCGGCTGATATGGTTGATTAATCATTGGCTGTTGGTATCAGCCAAGAAAATCTTTATCGCACACAACAAATCATTATTAGCTCTAACTCTAGCAACAACAAGTATAAGTGCATTGCTGCTCCCTGTTTAGAAAGTAGCACTTCTCTGCATTCTTGTTAGGTAGGAGGCAAGGAGGGGCGGGGCCTTCTGTTTGACTTCAGTCCAACGTGGTTAGTCTTTATTTGTGCTAGGTAATTCCAGTAAAGGTGGCAGGTACCCAAAAGTGCAGACCACCAGAAACAGGAGGGCATGAAAAGAAGTGGAACAAGATGATAGGGGCTCAGAGAAAGGCAAAAGGCAACCAGTAATTTATGGCAGGGGTGGGCAATTATTTTGGGTGGAGAGCTGCTTAACGAGGTTTGGTGAGCTTTCGAGGGCTGCATGGGTAGCCCCACCCATTGACAGCTGCCTCACCCCCTGGTCACTATCTTGGAACTGGAAGTCTCACTCCTAACACTTGACCCCTGAAGTCCCTCCCCTGCCTGCTAGGGTTGCACGCCATAAGGAGAATGTGGCAGAGGGGTTCCCATACTCCCCCATCTTCCCTCACATGCACACACTACCCACCTAAGGTCCACACTGCCGCCGCCCCCGAGTGCAGGCTCCATGCTGCTGCCAGCCGCAGCCTCACACTCCTGTTTATCTGCAGCTCTGCCCCTGCTGGTTCCCTACCTGCTGCCTGGGGGTAGCAGGATGCCAGAGAAGCTAAGCAGGTCTCAAACAGCTGCAGCAGTCCCGTCTGGAAGCTGGCTGTTGGCTACCCAGGCTGATTCCTTCCGCCCATGAGGGGAAGGGAGCAAGGTACAATAAAGGTATGTTGGGGGGAGAGGGTATATACATGCTCCCACCCTCATAAGCAGAAGAGCTGGGTGAGGTACAATTCACTGGTGGGTGCTGTGGGCCAGATGAAAATGCCTGGTAGGCCAGATTTGGCTCATGGGCTGTATTTTGCCCACCCCTGACTTATGGCCAATGAGCAGGATCAAGGCCACAGGGCAAATGGATCCAACCTGGAGTCGAGGGCACTCTAGCATTTGTCAAGAGCAGGAGCAAGGGCTTTGGTGGTGGGTGGCTTTGCCTGCACCAGGCCACAGCTAGTGAGTTTTGATCATGCTGTGCCACAGCTGGAGTTAGAGGAAAAGCAGCAGTTGCAACATTGGCTGCATGCTAGTGCCAGCATGCCTGAGACCAGAGCTGGGTCATTCTAGCCCACCACTGGAAAAAACACTGCTGACCACTGGTTTATGGTATAAGAACTTGGAAATGGGTGGCCACATTAAGCATGCTTCCCTAGGACCCTGCCAACACAGCATCAGCTCCACAGTGAAACTGTAAAAGTATTTAAATATTAGACTTAACAAAATACCAGTAATGTTATACCTGTTTCTAGATGGGTTCATTTAGATGTGCAATTATAGTTAGTTGGCACTGCATAAAGGAGTCTGGAGCTTGTTGATTCATAAAACAAATACCTTGTCTCTAGAGCTTCCACGTCTTCAGTGAAAACGTAAGGGTTTTTTGTCAGGAAGGGCCCCAGCTGATTGTCTTCCACACCCACATCCTTAAGAAATAATAGGATCTTTTTAATGTCATTTTCAAAATCCAGCCTCAGTAGGAGCTGGCCTGCATTCCGAAGCTTTTCCACTTTGGACAAATCAACTCCTATAGAAAATAAGTTGGATAGCCCATTAGTAGAACACTGAGCAAAATGAATGTTATGATTCTTACAAACATCTGCTTTACAAGTACATGCTAGAGGTTGTGTGTCTTGGATATTACTTTTGTGCAAAGATCCAGATTCCTGTTTAAGATGTAGTCAAAATACCATCTATATTTAAAAGAAAATCTGCTAATACAGTAGTTCTCAACCTTTTTAGCCTCAAGGTCTTCCTTCATAGTTTTTTTAAATTTAGGGGGCAGCTTGGCTGAGAACTAATGAGCTAGAATCTAGCTAATGCTAGGTGAGGGTTGAAGGGCAGGCACTTGTCCCACTGTGCCCTACTTCTCCCACCATGTGCCCCCTCCCAGCCCCAGTACCTGAGGAGAAAAGCACTGCTCCTCCAGGGGCTTAAACACCTGCAACTGGAGCTAGATCTACCTGTGGTTCCTCCTGCCCCTCCAGGAGGGAGCGGGGCAGGGAGGAACAGGGGTTGAGCCAGGCTGAAAAGTGCAGCTTCACAGCCCCATGGCCGCTTATATGCACAGCACAGCACATTGCTGGAAGCATGGGGACTGGTATGGAAGCTGCTGGAGCAGAGAACAACTACAGGCATCACTTCTCTATGGGATGCTGGATGCCCAGCACTGAGAATGAGGAGGAGCAATTGCTTACCTCCTGGCACAAGAACAAGGCATCATGTCACCCTTGGAAGGATTTTGCACCACCCCAGCTGAGACTCATTGCTAAAACAAGCCCCAAATTATGGTATTTTTAATACAAATTCTGGTTGCAAAATTCAACTAATCATTCATTTTTTGAACAAAAATCTTTCTGGTTTCAATACTGCAATGCAGAAAGATAAACACAGTAAGACATATTCAGAGTTCAAAACAGAATGCTCATTTTGTTTGCTCAGGCCTGTGCATGTAAAGGAGCCTCCCACATTTATTACATATGGACAATGCATAAAAAGGTGACAGCTTCACTGTAAAGGACCTTTGGTTCCCAATCCAAATACCTATTATTACTGGACTATAATGAATTTTATTTTATGAGAGGTTTTTTAAGCTAACAACCCCTTTCCTCCCCAATTGTGCAGTATTTTATTCCCTTTCTCTACCCTTGTTTGCAGATACCCCTCCTTTTCAGTCTATGCTCTTTTTTGACAGAGGCAGAATCTTTCCCACTTCTTCATCCCCATGGTTTCATTTATCCTCTCTTCTAAGGCCACCGAGAAGAGACATGCACAGGTTTGCTCATACCCAGTGAAAAATTCCTCTCAGCCAGAGACAAAAAGGCTGCTAGAGCAGGGGTGGGCAATTATTTTAGGCAGAGGGCCGCTTACCGAGTTGAAGCAAACTGCATCAGTAGCCCTGCCCTGCTATTTTGCCATTCTTCACAGGTTTCTTTGGGTAGTTTATATGTCCAATAGTAGAAGTTGCCAAACAAGAGGATAAAGGTAACAGCATAGAAAATTACACCCCAGTACATCCATCTGGGAAAGGGACAATCATTATAAATAGACCAGGCTGTATGGCCAAGAGTCACGTGGAACTGAACCAATTGCAGTTTGGTCAATTATCATTTCCACCAGAGGTACTTCTGAACTTTAGGGCCACAGACAGCTAATCCATAGTACATGTACATAACAAAACATGAATAAATGCATTTATACGAGCCCTGCTCCTTAGATGCCCCACCCCCTGGTTGCCATCTTGTGATCAGAAGTTCTGTTCCCTAACCCCTGAATTTTGCCACCAGAAGTCCCTCCCCTTGCCCCCAAGAATACTCTTTTCAGCAAGGGGTTTTGCCATCTCAGAACCAGAAAAATACCAAATTATATTCTAAAAAAAAATTGGACATCTACATTCATTAATTTGATTCCAAAAAATATTTTTGTCCTGATTTACACACGTTTGTGTAGTGTACACAGAGGCGATCACACAATAGCTTAAAATGAAGTCTTACTCTTGTATACTGTTGGGGGATGGGGGGCATGGAGAGGTGGGTATAGGTTTGTGGGGGGCTGTTGGTGTGTGGGTCTGTGGGGTATGGAGAAGGGTGTGGGAATGTGTGGGTGTGGACATGAGATGTAGGTAGATATGGGGTTTGTGGGGGGCTGTGTGTGGGGGAGAGTGGCTGGGGGGGGGTGGGTCTGGGGGCATGTGTATGGTGGGGTGTGTGTGTGGGACTTGCCCTATGAACAGGCACGCAGTCTCTCCCTCCCTCATTGCAGGGATGTGCATGCATAGTTACGGGCTACGTGGTGCTGGAGTGGCCATGCAGGGAAGCAGTGAAAGCGGCAGCAGGCAGAGCCTTCCAGTTGGGGAGGAGGGGGGCTGGGGGCAGGCTGGCCTTGCTACTGAGCCCTGCCAGCTTCCCCTGGGTCCTACTGCCTCTGGCTCCTGTCATCTTTGGCAAGTAGCCAGAAGCAGATAAATATAAATTTTCTAATTTTTTTTAGGGGCCTCATGAGTCAGATAGAATGGGCTGGCGGGCTGGATCTGGCCTGCGGGCCATATTTTGCTCACCCCTGTGCTAGGGGGAGGAAATATTTCCTGTTCCTGTAGAACAGTGGTCCCCAACCTTTTTGGACTTGGCACCCCTCCTGGACTTGAGGCATCCCTTCATAACTTCTGTGAATTGAGTGACACTCAATTTTAAGAGCTGATTTATATATTACGGTTCCTTACCCTCTTGCAGAAGGGCTGAGCAGTGGGATGGGATACTAGCCAGGCAAGCCGCAGCCTATGCTTGTCTGATTACCTCCTCATACCTCAAGGCACCGTTAAAAGATCTAGCAGCACCCCAGCTGCCATGGCACTCCTGTTGAGAATCACTCCTCTAGAAGCTGTAGGTTATGCCTTTTTAGTACTCCTAGCTTTTACAATGGTAAGCACCAAGGGACGCAACTTTATCCTATACTACTATGGTATTCTAGTAAACCACAGATGTAGCTTCCACTCTTCTCCTTAGATGCATTTGTCCTGCATCTTTCCCATATATTATGGGCTGTGTATTGCTGCTCCAATAAAATTACAATTTGAAAGCTTCCTGCTGAATCAGTAAGACTGAGATGCTCAGATCTTTAGAATTCCCAGCACACCAAGTACAAGTAACCTGCTCAAATATCATTATGCTTACCCAGATGCACTAATTTGGTCAGAGTTTCTGAACGATCAACATAATCTCGAAGCGTGAAGGACTCAAAGGGAAGAAGCGGCTCGGCCACGATCTGCACAGCTTCTTCCTCGGAAATCTCCTCCAAAGCAGATAAAGGCAATACACTGTCCCAATCTGGAAGACACCATGACCAAATTATTGGATACTTACAGTAAAGAAATAAATAGAATATCCCTCCAGGTCTGTCTCAAGTACCAGAATAATTAAAACCACAGGGTTTTAATCTTATTGGAGCTTTTGCTTACTATGTGCAATTCTTCTGTGAAGCAACTATGAAGGCTAACAGCAGCATAGGTAATTAGGTATAATGTAATGAAATGAACAGCAAAAATGTTTAAGGAAGGATTGCCTTTTCACAAATTATGCAAGTGCTTATACAAGTGTGTAACTTTAAGGACTAAGCAAATTAGTTTAATGACTGCAAATTAAAATAGTCCATACGCATTTGTAGAACCATAGCTGTAACATACAACAATAGGTCACTCAGTCTCTCAAATGGAGGTAATTTCTCTTTCCTATATCATAGCGCTGGGCGACAAGAAGTTAATGCTTGGAAAATTCTTGAAGCTCCTCAACTGATACAATTGGAGTAACCTAATAGCTGCCTTTAATACTTCTGACTATACTTTTCTTGTTATTGAAGCTGAGAAAATCCATATCCCTCTATCCTCTCCTGAGTTTTCTTCTATGCCTCATCTCTCAAACATAATCTTAGTGTAGATCTTCTTTATCTCCTTGACTGGGCTCAATCCCTAGACCTTTTCTTCCCCTACACCACTTTTCACCTGCAAACACATCTCCAGCTGCCACCTCTCCATTTGAGACCCGTTTCTTTTTTTGGTTTTAATAGTCCAAAGTAAAATCCAAAGTTCAGCCTCTGTAACATCTTCTCACTAATCTCTAGCAGTAAACTCATGTTCAATATAACCAAAACAGTCTTAACCTTCAGGCACAAGCCCTTCCCACAAGCTTGTTTCATAATCACCAGGGATCCTGATTTTCTCCGATTAAAAAATTGCAAATTCTCCGATTAAAAACTGCAAATCCGTGATAAAAATTAAAGGCCCCCCACCAGCCCTGCTGGTGCCCTACACTCTCCCACACAGCCTCAACAGCACCTCCTGATGCCCCTCACAACAGCCCCCCGGATCCACACATGCAGGCATAGAGGCACACACAGACACTGACACCCACCCCAGCAGGTTAAGTGTATGTGGAGGGAAGGGAAGGTGCTGGGGGGTAGATCAAGGAGGGGAGCATGCCCCTGTGCCCACTCCCAGGAGCAGGGCCACTCTGCGAGCCACACACGCACCAGCCAGCCTGACAGGGGGTTCACACACGGAGGCTGCCACCACCACTCTGCCACTGCACCCTGTGCTACCATCCCATGGCCACCCGCACGGCTTTGTGGGCAAGCAGCGCAGGGCGCAGCAGCGGCAATGCAGTGGCAACAATCGTGTGTGGGCCACATACATGCCGCCCGGCTGGGGGGTGGAAAGGGGGCTTGCATGCAGCAGCCACCAGTACACTGCTACTTATGCCCCGCAACCAGCTGCATAGGTACACAGTGGTGCGGGGTGGTGGTGGCTGCATGCTGGCTGGGGGGAGGGAGCTTTGCAAACAAGCACTGCCACTGCGGAGCCATGCCCTTCACCTCTGTATCCTAGCGGTAGGTGGGGCGTGGGGGCTATGGGGCATGACTGGGGAAGGTGGTTGGGGGTTGAGGGAGTGGGAGGTGCTGCTGGCCCCAGGTGGCACACTGCAGCCAGGTGCAGGGCCAGGGGGTGAGGGCAGGGGTGGCCCTCTGCAGGGGGCTTTGCAGGTAAGTGATGTGGGGTGCACATGACACCTGGCTGGCTGCCCAGTGGAGAAGGAGGCTGGCATGTGGCTGCTGCACAGCTCTGTGGCCAGCTCTGCAACAGTGGCAAGGGATGGCGGCTGGGGGGCAGGGAGGGCTCGTATGCAGCAGCTGCTGCCACTTACCTGTAGGGCCTTGCCAGCAGCGATGTCTGCTGCGTACAAAACCTCCCTGCGCTGCCACTGTGGAGCTGTGCCCAGAGCTGTGCAGCTGGCCGCATGGTGGCAATGTGGTGGCAGCCATGGCCACCACATGGCGTGGGATGATAGTGAGGACGGCTGCGTGCCACCCAACTGCCACCACACTGCCGCTGCCACCCTGCAGTCGGCCGCACAGCTTTAGGCATGGCTCTGTGGTGGCGCGGGGAGGTTTTGCATGCAGCAGCCATCACCACTGGCACAGGCGGCCCTACAGGTAAGTGGCAGCAGCTACCATGTGCAAGGCCCCGCCACCATCCCTCACTGCCGCTGTAGAGCTGGCCATAAAGCTGTGCAGCCAACCACATGCCAGCCTCCCCCTCCCCCCGACAGCCGGCCAGGTGGCACGTGCACCCCTCATCGCTTACCCACAAAGCCCCCTGCAGAGGGACACCCCTACCCTCACCCCCTGGCCCTGCTCCTGGTTGTGGTGTGCCACCTGGGGCAGGCAGCACCCCCCGCTCCCTCAGCCACCTTCCCCAGCCCTGCCCCACAGCCCCCAAGCCCCACTTTCCTCTAGGCTCCAGAGGCAAAGGGGGAGCCTGCGCCCAAGCCCAGCCTTGGCTGACTCAGAGGCTCAGGCCTCACCCTTCCCCCTCTCCCTCTGGGCGGGGCTGGGATTTCCCACTGTTTCTACAATCAGCTCTTGCAGGCTTGCTCCAGCCTGCAAGAGCTCTTTGCAAAAGCAGAGAATCTGCAGATTTCTCTGCTAAAAAGGGAAATCCACGTTTTCTCCAATAAAAACAGGGAATCTGTGGTTTTCTCTGTTTTTCTGTGGGAAATGGAAAACACTACTATCCTGCCGATCATTCAGGCCCTTAACACAGGCACCATCTTTGACTCCGATTCTTCTCAGTCATTACCTTCAGAACATTTTTAAGGCCTTCCAGTTCTTTCTCCAAGATACAAACAGCCTTTCCCATCCATCCAGACAGCTAAAACTCTTACAGTCTTTTATTCTGTTTACAGAAACCACCTTCTCTGCAGCCCCAACATAACTGATCTTGCCCTACTTGCATTCGTTCAGAATGGTGCTACAAAAGACTGAATATGTTCTTAATATGTCACCCCATTCCACATACCTCCACAGACCCTCCACTTCTATTGCTTAGCTGCCTTTATTTTCAATGTCCTTTAGATGCACTCTCTCTCATTCTCTATCATGATGTTGACTCCTGACTCGTCAGCCAGTGAAGCAAGCCTTCAACACCTACTTGTTAAATTTCTATTTCATTAATTAATAACAATAGAAATATTAACAAAAACTTCCAAAGAGAAAGATCTGCCAAGTTATGGAATAGTTACAAAAGGGAAGGAGTTGTCAAAACCATATAATTTGAGATATTTATATCTGACCTGGAGAAAATTCTGGAGGGTATTAGCATTTCTCTTTGCAACACTCCAGTAAGGTAAAGTATAGTTACATGTGTTTATCACATTGGGAATTTAGATGCAGAAATTTAATGACTTGCCCAAGATGACATTAGAAGTTTGAAGCACAGCTGGGAACTGAACTTCCCCCCCACCCCGATTCTTAGTCTAGTACCTTAACTCACGGTACTATCCTGCTGCTCGTTTCCGTTTGATTTAGACATACTTTTGTTGCAAGATCTCAAATTAGGAAATTTTTCTGCATTCTTAATTTGTGCATTTGGCAGCATTTTCTACATATTAATTTTCAAAGATTCCCTTACTGAGTCAGCTGTGCGAGCCTCACAGAGCAAAACAGGAAACTTCTCATTTTATTTTTCTTCTTTAAATGTAAACAAACCAGAACAAAACAAACCCCTATTAAAACTGACAGGGTAGTAGAGCTAGACTATCTAAAACTATTCGTAACTTTTATTTTCCAAATAGACTAGATGTAAAGCTAGTGGTTTCTAATGACTAAACTTTAAATATCAATGAAGTGCTTCACTGCTGGCAACTTCAGCAGAAACAGGCAGCAGAAATGCACATCCAGTATGGCTGGACAGAACGTAAGTGAGAACTATTTAGCTTAATTATCCATTTCCGACTGCAATTGCAGAATTATTTCTTCTTCATCACATGCTTTGGGGAGTCTAGTTTTAGATGCCCCTAACTGTAACATCAACTCCAGCACTTCTGTAACTGTCTAAAGTGAGCCATTATAAATTTGTTCTTAATTTTCCAACCATAGTTTGTTTTTTCTGCCCCTGAAGGATCAGATTCAGCTTTGGGATAAGCAGACAAAATTCCAGGGAAGTCAAGGCATCTCTGCAGGGGTTTTAGAACGTAATTAATGTTTCCATTAAAATTCTGGTCCAGGAGCAGATCCAGGAGGAGTGCTGTGGTACCACTACACCCTCCTTTTGGATTGAAGCATACCCTGGGAGCCTCTGGGGACTTTTTTAAAGCCCTGAAGCAGATGAGAACCCACTCTCTTTTACTTGGTGCTCAGATACAGTCCTTCTCCCACCCCTGGCTGCCACCGTTGCTTTCCCCAGACCCAATTCTGTGTGCTCTTGCTGGGCTGCCACAATGTGGTGGGGAGGGAGCTCTAGATTCAGCCAGGAATTGGGAGGGGGGCAACAGCAAGGTAGGAGTAATTTCCCCCTCTCAGCCTTGTCCCCCAGGAGCAGGCTGGAGAAAGGGAACTTCTGCCCATCCACACTGCCCTTGTCCCTCCCTCCCTTCCTCAGCACAATCCAGCTGAAGGAGGCAGAAGCTTCTCTGGAGTTTCCCTCTGACAGCATGGAAAGTAGCAGCAGCAGGTGGGGAAAGGGCAGGGAAGGGGACTGCTGAAAGGGAAGGGAGGGGGACCTGCTTTAGGGATTTACCAGGCCCTCACTTCCTTTAGGGACTTAACATCTCAGGAGATTCCCACAGACATCTGCTGGCAGAGGCAGAAGGCTGAAAGCAGAGGGTAGTGCTCCCACACACCCCTTTCGGAAATCCTGGATTTGCCCTTGTTCTGGTCCATGCTAGAAAATGTACGTGTTGCTGGTATGCATCAGACATGCATACATCAACAGCTGTTTGTGGGTTAGCTGCAAATGAACACCAGGCAAGTTATGAACAATGTTTAGGAAAATCATTGTTTAAATTATTTTATAGCATTCCCTACATACAAAAAGGTGAAAGCACATTGTGTGGCTAAATTATTTGCCAAAGGATACAGGAAGAATTTTTGCCAGAATCAAAGTAACTACACAAGAAGTTCCTGGCTCCTGACACTATACTCAGACAACCTTCCCCTCTGCTGAGTGTAAGAGAGGACAGCCTGGTTAGCATCAGCTAAAGTAACTTTAATTAGTGTGTTACTATGCTTAAACAAAGATAGCACTTAATCTCTAATACTTTATTCTGAGATATAGATAAACACTATTATAAAATATCATTCTAATACATGGCACATTCTAATACAATTTTCTTCCATACCTATCAAAATTATTTTTCAGGGTCTGATAATTTTATCATTTAGCTGCCAAATCACAAAAAGGTTAGTGAACTTGCTCAAAACCACATAGTGACTTTGGGTTCATCAGGTGTGTCAAACTCACCTCGTGTCCCAGGCTGGATCTGGACCACTGGGCTCCTTTGGGCACAAGGAAGTGATAGTGATGGCAGCTCTGGCTCTAGCTCCCACCACACGCCCTATTCTGGAGCTGGAATTAGGCTTCTGTGTGTCTTGTGCCGTGGGAGCAGCTCCAACACGGGGCAGGGGCAGCGGTCAGGGAGGTAGGGCCATGGCAGTGGTGATAAGTAAAACAGCTGGAGAGCCACCGGGGCTGTCAGCCCATGCTTGCCCTGTGGTCATGTACACAAAAGCCCAAGGGCCCTAAATTCTGCAGCAGGTCACACCCGGTCTGGCAGGCCAGGTCCAGTGGCTCTACAAGCCATATGTGTCATACTACTGGTTTTACATCTACAGTGTAATACAGATGTGTTACTGCAGCCCAGCTTACAACAAAGCAGCTCAGATACATAAATGGCCGGCTAGAACCACTGCCGGCCTTTCACTCAAAGCAGACTGCAAAACTTACCTGGGAAAAGAAGCAAGACAGCAATTCCCAAACTGTGGGTCACCCAAATGGGCTTGCAACATCAGTGGATGGCGTCACAGGCTGTGGGTTGGGAGTGAGCAGCCATGCTGAGGAAATGGGGCCACAAATGGCATCACACTGAGGAAAAGTTTGGGAAGCACTGGGCTACACAGAGACTGCTGTAGTTACACTGCAATGGGTACCAGTCAGCTACTTTACACTTAGTTCAGGTGGATCTGCCCAAGCAGGGCTCACACTCTAGGACTGCAGCACAGATGCACTGTGTGCAGCAAAACACAAAGAGAATCCAGCCCTCCTCATCTCAAGCGCAGCCCTGTGCCCCCGTGCGCGGCACCGCTACCTGCATTTCACAAGCCATCCACAGAGACTCCAGTCACTAGATCCCTATCAAATATGACAACAGACGTGTCGGGGACATATCCTGCGGCTGCAACCAGCCTGTGGGGCATCCTCAGGGCTGCGCCTGGGTCTCAGCTAACTCGCACAGAGCATGTCAGAGAGGCCCCACACACAGGGCCCAGGACGTCAGCCACACAACGTCAGCGCGGCCCAGCCAGGCTAGGATATGCCATGCACGCGGCATCCAGCGCTGTGCAGCGCCCGTTCCAGCCGGTCCATGGCCCCTGGCCTGGCCATGGCAGGCGCCAGCCCTGACGCGTGGGGTCGGAGGGGGCCCGGGGCGGCCTCTCACCTTCGGGCGGTGCGGCCGAGTCAGGGGCGGGCAGCGCAGGGGCGGGCAGCGCGGGGCCAGGGCCGGGGCTGGAGCGCCAGCGGGCGGGCGACGGCCCCACAAGCCTCAGCCAAGCGCAGCTGCGGATCAGCCAGCTAGCGCGCGCAGCCATAGCTGCGCAGAGGCAGACTGCGCAGGTACTGCCCCGCCTCACCGGCACCACGTGGGCCGCCCCCTCCTGCACGGCCGAAACCATCCCCGCGGGGGAGATGGACGCTCCTCCTACCTCCCCCCCAGCACTAAGCGCGTGGTATGGCCCGGGCCCGCCCCCTCGGCCCAGCCTCCCAGCGCGCCGCTCTGGAGTAGCCTCAGCTCCGCGCGCAGCTGCCTCCGAGCTCCGCAGCTAGCGGCTGGGCCCGCGGGGTCATGGCGTCGTGCGTGGGGAGCCGGACCCTGAGCAAGGACGATGTGAACTACCGGGTGCACTTCCGCATGATCAACGAGCAGCAGGTGGAGGACATCACGCTGGAGTTCTTCTACCGCCCGCACACCATCACGCTGCTTAGCTTCACCATCCTTAGCCTCATGGCCTTCGCCTTCACCAGGTACCGCCGCGCCCCGCCGCCGGGTAGCGCCCAGGGCCTCCCGCCGGCTATGGCTGGGAAGCGCTGCCCTGAGGCGCGCCCGCCCGTCCCTGCCTTCCCTGCCCGGGCTGGTCCTGGGGTCGGGCATCCGCACTAACCCGCACCCGCCTCTGCCTGCTTTCATCTCCTAGGCACCAGCCGCGGGGCGGCCCGTCGAGGCGGTCAGGATGGCCGCGCAAAACCGCGTGTAGAAGGTGCTCAACCTCCAGCCCGCGGGCTCCCTGCAGCTCCAGGCTTTGGCAGCGGGGGAGCAGTGGCCATTAATACGGCCGCCCTACCCCGCTGCCCTGTTCCGATGTGCTGCTGCCTGGTGGGGCAGGGCTTCTTCCTCCCTTACTTAGGTGGATCTGGGTCTGGCCAAGTCCCTCCCATGTGCTTGTTGTGGAGCAGACCACGCCCCCTGCTCCCATGGAGCTGGGTTGGGGCCGTGCCACACCTGCTTCCCCCCATGAGGGCGGGTTGGGGTCCTGCTTCGACCGCCCCGGGTGCTGGTTTGGGACTAGTGGTTGGATTTGGCCCATGGATGGACTGGGCACTACTCATCTGGCCCAGCAGCCAAAAAGGTTGAGCGACACTGATCTATATGTTCCTCGTGGTAGCCCAGCATCTCCAGTGCTGGTGGGGGTAGTCCAGCCTTTCACTGTCACGTTCTCATTTGTCATGCTGGGCCCTCCCTTTCCCAGTCTCATATCTGCACCCCCCGTGATAAACTGTCCAAGAGCATGACTCTCCTTTGTTTAGCTTCCACAGGGGTGCTGCTCTTTTCCCCTTGCCTCCAGTGGCTCCTCTTCCCACTCCTGCTCCTGCAGCGATGCCTTGGGCGGGTAGGCAGGGGGGAAGGTCCAGCCAGGAGGCTCACGCTGGAGGCAAAGGGAGTAGAACAGCACCAGCTAGCTGCAGCCACGCTGGTAATAGGAGTCCAAGATCCTGGGGCTTGGCCCCATACAGTGTGCCGTGGGGTCAGCTGTGGCCTGGGCAAGCTCTGCCATGCAGGCCCCCCACCTCCCAGTCCGCAACAACTCATTAAAACTTCCTATGTGGCCCTCGGGACCAAATAATCGCCCAGCCCTGTTCTACAGTATATAAAACCATATATGTGTGGCTTTAGCTATATATATCAGTCTGTGCTGAGATATATAATATAAACATTGCAGAGACACTACTGGGAAAGTAATGCACAAGCTTCTGCCTTGATTCTGCAGATCCCCATTTAAATTCACCTTTGTGTGTAATCCCAGTGGAGAAGCTCATCATAATGCTCAGGACATGAGCAGGTGTTTGTGGGACTGCAGCCATATTTGTTTCATTGGGCACAGCACTGGCACAGGGGGCCAGTGTATGCTGATCTTGCAAAAGTAGGACTTTTGGCGGAAAGGTGCTCCACAGCAGACTTCTGAATTATTGTATACACTTAAATATTTGTAATTCACCATTTGCCGAAGGATCAAACTTCACATTTGCTGAACAGCTGCTTGTGAATCCCTTTGTGTAGACCCAGTCCTGTAGTCCTTTATCAAAATATATTGATATCGGTAGATATCAACTAAGCAAGCACCATAAGAATTTGGATTTGTTAGTGGAGGGGGGGAGGGGGGAGGCCAGATAGCTTTTATTTTTTCCCAGATAAAGAATGGGTCAAGCAGCAATTCACACACATTTGTATTTTCAAGGCACAGAATGTTAAGTAAACACTTGAGTAACTTCTAGGTGGATATAGTTTCCTCAGCCTTTGCTTTCTTTGGAGCTTTCCAGCTTTTCCTCTGTTTCTCCACCCCTTCTCAGCTCCCTTTGT